TAACAGTTCTAAAAGTTTTTAAATAATTTAACAGAAAATATGTTCATCTATATTTTTTTTATCAGATGTAATAATTATTTAATTATGCATTTAAAAATTAGATATTTATTAGGAGTAAAAAAAAGAAAATAAAAGAAGAGAGGAGTGAGTGGAAGAGAAGTGGTGGATAACATGTAAAAAGTAAGAAAAGGGCTCACTATCCAAGTGTTAAAAGAAGAAGAATAACTTTCACATATAGCAAACATAAAAATCATATTTATATGTTATAACTATAGTTTGCATAATTGCGCTCCATAGCAAATTTTATGTTTGCTATGGAGTTTTTGATTTGTTTAAATCGCTAGATACATCCAATTTTATACAAATCATTCAGTTTTGTATAAATTCATTTATACATTGTAATTTATATAATAAGATCTGTATTTGTATAGTTATAAGTGTATAGGATGAAAATATATGTATTTATATTTATATATACACTTTTCTCTCGCTTTATACAAACACAAACGAAATTTATACATTTTATACCGAAATGTATAAAATGGCTAATTGTAAACCGAAAATGCTTAATTGTATACCGAATCAGATGGCAAAAAAAGGGGATGTTTGCTGCGAATTACAAATAAAATAAACTATGAATATAACATTTAATTTGAATTAATAGTTTGTTATTTCATACAATTTTCTCAAAGAAGAATAAAGCCTCACACAACAATTATTGATTGGACATCTACCATTGTAAAAACTTTCACTTCCACGTTATTTATCATGTGAGTTGGTCAATGGTCACTAAACTTGCAATTCAAATATTCAATGTCTTGACGAGGTTTGGTTTCCGTTCTTTATTTACATTTATAAACTTCATTAAATAAAGAGCAAATAGCTGCAGAATCAATGCCTTCCCCAATATTTTATATCAAAAAACTGACCAATCATATCCTTGAAGTGAAAGTCATATAAATAAAATAAAATAAAGAGAGTTGGGAACTTATCAAACCATTTATTAAAAAATAAATAACAAGTGAATGTATTGATTAGTGCATGGTAGGGAATCAGTGCAACATGCATAATAATAATAATACAATATTTGTTCACTATAGTGAATTGGTCTAATGTCACCATCACACAGCAACATGGTGTGTTAATCAATCAAAAAAATAAATCAAGATATATTATTGCACGATGTACAAGATTTGAGGGGTCATCTGATACAAGTTGAACTTAAAGTAACCTGTTCTGATAAATTAAATTATTGAACAATATAATACACACATTCTTTATAATATTGTCCATATATATATATATATATATATATACTAGTTTCACGATACGTGTGTCACACGTGTATATCGTATATATAATATATGATGTTGTAAAATAGAATTAATATTACTAAATTAAAGCTTTTTAATAAATAATTATAATTGAAAGAACATAGTACAAGTGTTTTTAAATTATTAATACATATTGTCATAGACTTACTTGTATTTTGAGATCAAAATGACCAGATATGATTAAAACATTTCAAAATACATTCAAAGTTTAAATATGGGAGAAAGTGACATATCTTTAATAACATTATCTCTTGCTTCACTCAATTTTGTAAACAAATCTAACCAACAACAATTAGAAAACAAAATATTCATTCAAAAAATGTCACCGCCTTTCCTCTTGAGGTTGTGAACATAAATAATGTGCACCATTTAAGTACAAATTTTGTCTTAAATATTCTTACTTGAAATTTAGTATGTGCATGACACTAATAAGGATTACCACAAGTATTTCAATGTTTTATCTTTATATGTAACATATCTTTACAAAATATTATTACTCAATTAATATTTGAGTAAAGCTATTATAGAGAGGTAATTTTACCAAAAAAGTGTACTTGGTTGTTATCATGAATGATGGTTATATATACTTCAGTATAATAATTTAATTTTAATATATGAATAACATCACATATGGTGAAAAATATTTCATTTCATTAAGTTTCTACCTTATCTTTGTGGAATTGTAGTCTTCTCCTTTTTACATATCATATAGTTGTTGTCTAATGAAAGTATCTTGTATCTTATAGAAGTTGTATCATGATATAAAAATTTAAATTTTTCAATAATAAAAATTAATAGATGAATAAAATTTAAAGTATTATTTATAGAATCATTAATTTGATTTAAGATCATTTAATTTTATGATCAATGACTATTTTCTTATCTATTTTTATATAGCTAGTAAGGAGTGTATCTTGTGACATAAAGAAAAAATATATGGAACAATACATAGCCAATGAAGAAGGAAGACGAAAATATATACTCATGCTATATTCACTCTAGTGTTTCATTTGATTTAAATATCTTGTCAGCAACACTTTACTTTCTCCGTTCATTTTTACATACATATCTATTAAAAAATATTTATTATCATGGCTATGTTATCATATTATAAGTAAAAGTGAAAATCAATTTTTGAAATAGTGAATTTACTATCAAAACTAATAATTCAATGGACTACGTTGATACTCATTGTTTTAGCAAAATTAGGAAGAAACTCCTTCATTTGAGGGAAAAGAATAAAAAAATAAAAAAATAAAGAAGAAATATCTTACCCAAATCATATGTCTTTTTTCATATATGTTTATTATTAGTCTCTCCCAAAACTTTTCGTCACTGTTAACTCTTGAAAATGGTAAGAAAAAAAATACAAGTGTGTGAATTGATGAATGATTTGCTACAATTTTTTCACCAACTATTTCTTATGAGGTACCTCGAATTTCGTTGAATTTCGAACTTAATCATTTTTTTCAAATAACACTTGAGATTTTTTAGGAAGAAGAAGAGTAGAGAACTTAAAGAAATTGTAGTTTAAAAGTGTGAGGAAACCCCTCTATTTATAGCTTCCAAATAGTAGTACGAATAGGTGTGAGTTGTGCCTTATCCGAAAAGTCACAACCTTTCGAAAAAATCAATGCTTCTCGGAAAAGTCACAACCCTTAGAAAAATGTACAACTCATCAGAAAAGACACAATCCTTTAGAAAATTCACAACCCTTCGAAAAAATCACAACTCATTGAAAAAGACACAATCCCTTTAATTTAAAAAGGTATCTACTTTTAATATAATAAAATTAATTTAACTAATAAATAAAATAAATTGAGTATTTTTAATTGGGGTATTATAATAATTCAATATTCAAATTTGAAAATTCATGCTTTTAAGGTAGTAAATTTTACTCTTGCGTCATTGGGCAGAAATTAACCATAGAATTCAAATATTTACGGCTACATAATTCAAAGGCTGCTGGCAAAAGTGGGATAAAGTTGGAGCTTGAAGATACTAGCTGCCAACTAGTGATATACTTTTTTTGGATTTAATTTTTTTTATATGATATGTTTAAGATTTAAATTTTTTTAATATTTAATATATTTTAATTTAAAATTATAATTTATTTATTTTTTTAAATCTTGTATTAAATATAAATAAAATAAATAAATAAAAACGAAGAGAATACTGCTATTTATAATTACTATACTTTTCATTGAATTAATTTGGAAGAATGCGGCCAAAATAAATTTTCTACTACCTACCTTATGTCAACATCATTTTCATTTGAATATTCTTGGTTAGTTTGTTTTACTTGTAGGTTGTGTTCGTACTAAGAAAAAAAAATATTTATGAAAAAATATTTCATCGAGAAATGTTTTCTTAATAAAAATAAATATTTTTTAATTTATTCTTTGTGTTTGATATTTAAATTAAAAATGTATTTTTAAATGTATTTATTTATAATTTAGATAAATATTAAAGAAAGTGGGGTGTGAGGGGGGGGGGGGGGGGGCAAGGGATTGAAATAAAGTCATAAAGTGTATTAAAGCGGGAATATGATACCATCAATGTAGGATGTCATTTGTAGGATTTTGCTTTTTTTTTTATTTTAAGTAGGAAAATTATTTTTATCATTTTAAAAAAAACTTGTTTTTCTAAATAAAATATTATTAAAAGTTTTGATCAATTGAATATGAAAAAATTGAACTTTTTAGTTCTTTCTTATAATATTGCGGAATTGATCTTTAGATTCTATTGGTTTATTACGAAGATAAAGTTTAATCATTTTCCCATATTTTCAAAAAATTAAGCTGGATCCAGATCAACGAATTTTATTAACATTTTAAGAGTTAGAATAATACCGTGTCATATTCCATGTTTCGATTGACTTTTTCCTTTTTTAAATAATTACAGTGTTTGCGTTAGGTTGTGTGTACTTAAATTAATTTTATATGATAATCATCATTTTTCATCAGCAATAGATATTGAATAACCCCGTTCAACAGAGTTAAAATAAATCAAAATAATCATTCAATATTTGTTTATCTCTATTAAAATTTAAACTTAAAACTTTATGACTTTCGACTAGCTTAATTAACGACTAAATCACACTCATAGCTACGAATTGACTTCTTAATTTTAGGCCATCTTTGAAATGATGAATTGTTTCTAAAAAAAATTATTGGAGATTTTCTACATATTATATGAGTTCATTTCTAGGGACAATGCTCTCGATATTAATTTTTTATGCCTAATATTTCAAATTTAAGACCTTTAATTAAGAATGGATGAATTTCTATGTTATGTACTAAAGTTTATCAATTCTCCTACTCAATTTTTTTTCTTTTTCGTTACACCTTGTTTAGATGGTTGTTACTCATTGTATTATATTGAATTGTTAGTTTAAATATAATACTTATTTTAATTGTTATGATTGTTACTTACTTAAATTTCACTGTATCATTTCATCATTAGATAACAACGAAAAGTTTCAATTAGATAACAACGAGAAGTTTCAGTTTGTGTAACGACACCTATCCAGGGGTGATATTGCCAAATCTAAAACATAAAGGACGTGAATGTAATTAACCTATTTCCTGAACGCGTCGGTTTGTAGTGAATTTTACTAAATTACCAAAAATGGAAGAAGAAGTAAGAAGCATCGCTTTACAAATCATTAGATATTTCTTCCTGTAAAGATTCACGTTAAACTTTCCAATTTGATCTCTTCTTCTTCTTCTTTTTTCCTACTTTTCTTTCAACATCAAGCAATTTATAGCACCCAAGAAACAAACAAGTTCCTCACTCTTTCAGCTGACTCATAGTTTTTGATTGATTCATCTTCTCTGATTCTTTTATTTTCTCATATTTCCATTTCTTGAAACTTTTCTAAGAAATTCCCACAAAATATGATTCATTTCTGAAATCAATCACTTTGTTTTCTTGGTTATTTGGGTATTGAGGGATTCGAATTTTCCACTTTCTTTCCAAAGTTGTAATCTTTTCAGTGTATTGCTATTTGGGGTTTTTCTTGATTTGGGTTGGAAAAAAGGGGGTGAATCAAAAAGTTGGTTTTTGAGATATTCTTGGATTTGGGTGTTGTGGGTATTGGTTAAAATTGAGTCTTTTGTTCATTTAAGTTTTTGATCTGTTGGCGTATTCTTGGAAGTTTGTGGTTGTTGTTTGGTGGATTGATGAGAGTTTGAAGTGGATTGGTGATTGTGAGAGATTGTTTGAATGGCTTTAAAAGAGTTGATTGAGATCAAGTTCAGGCTTGCTGATGGCAGTGATATTGGACCCAACAAGTATACACCTGCCACCACAGTGGGTTCTCTTAAAGAAAAGATAATTGCACAGTGGCCCAAAGGTTTTCATTTTCTCTAGCTTTTACTGTATATGTGAATTCAGGGCAGTTTGGTTCATCTTAATAGCTAGCTCTTGTTTGGGTGCATAATTTGTTTGCTTGTTGGATATTTTGGTGTTTGGATTTAAAATGTAGTGCTTCTGTTTTCAGAACGAACGTATTTTGTTCTGATGACAATCGTTCTTGTATTAGTCTTGTATTTCTATTGGTTGATTATCTAACCTTGATTATTGTATTTTCTTGTTGTTGTCCTGCTTGTTGTTCTTGTCGTCGTCTTTTTCATCTGTTTTGAGCTGAGGGTCTATCGAAACAGGCCTCTCTATCTTTTTAAGGCAGGGGTAAGGTTTGTGTACAGTGTACACACTACCCTCCCCAGATTCTACTTGTGGGGTACACTGGGTAGGTTGTTGTTGACAATCATTCTTGTACTTTCTTGTTGTTGTTCTCTCTTGGACCAACAGGGAGGGGGTATGCTTGGATGAATATATAAAAGGAATCTATCACTATAATTGAAATGGAACAGTTAATTGTTGTGTTGACTGTAGTTTCTGCCTCATGAAAATATACATAAAGCTTGTCTTTTCAATTATAAGGATAGATTTCTTTTTATCTTTTTTCTGTCATGATGCAAGATTGTAAACAAGGCATGTATACATGGTATGGCATCATAGATTTCCATTTGGCTTACCATTACAATAATTTTGATGCATTTTGCTATGTGAATGAATAAAGCTTTGCATTTGATTACTCTTTATTGTTCCTCTTTTCCTCCTTTGGCCAGCATATCCTGTACTATATATAGGTTAAAAGGTCAATGTTTTGTGCACAAACACTGCACAGTGCAAACCTGCTGCATGTTGATTAACAAAAGGTGACCTAATTAACACACATATAAGGCCTCTATCTTTATACTGATCTTGAATAATTATTGCAGAGGCAATTGTCTCATATCCACAAGGATTTGCTATATTGGTCATCAATTTGTTGAGTTTATTTGATACTCTTATGTACTTCTGGCCCTTAGTTACATAATCTATGCGACTATTATTAGTGTTGAGTACATCTCCTGATTGGTTTTAGATATCCCTGTGTTTGTTGTGCCATGCTTTGTGAATAATTGTCTTAACCTGTTAAATTCACTTGTAGTTAATGCTACAAGATTATGGTGTGTGCCTAATTGCTTGATATTTGTAACTTCTGTTTATTTGTAAAACTGCGTTAGGTTTAGTCACTGGCAAGTACAGTTGAATAATTGAAAGGAAATCTTAAGTTTATTCGCAATATTGGTAAATTAAGCTTAGATTGTTTTACAATACATTAGAACTCTTACTTGTGGACTTCACCACCTCTTTTGCAAGAGTAGTTAGCTTCGTTTTAGCAAATCTAACCCTTCGATCATCTGACAAGTCATACAAGTCAAAATATTCCTCCATAGCTGATAGCCAATCAGCAAATATTGTTGGATTGAGCTTTCCATTAAAAACTGGTAACTCCTTTTTGACTTTCTTTCTGATGTTCCCTGTTGTACCTTGATTTTCATAGAGGGTTCTGTTTAGGAGAGTTCTACTCAGTGGTGGTTGAGGCATCTGCAGAGGCCTTTTCGCCACAAGTCCTCTTTTTTCAGTTGGATTAGTTGGTTGGTCAAGCTGTTGAACATCTTCTCCGGTCTCTAGTCCTTCATGCAAAACAACTCGGACAGATTCTTTTTTTCCTTTCGCTGGTAAATTAGTTGGCAACTGTGAGTTCTGCAACTCAAGGGCTCTCACACGAGTTTTTATATTCTGAACCTCTTCAATTAACTTCAGTAGCAACTCATCCCTTTGAATATCGGTTAGCTTCCCGCAACTAGGCTTTTCCACGTGATTTGACATGATACTGATGACCCCTCAAATACGAATTAAGAAAAAATGAAGAGATGAATGAGGAGAAGAAGAGAAAGAGATTACATATATTTCTGAAACATCTTTGGTCCAATGCTTTGCTGCAATCTGATGGTAAAGATGCATTTTATAAGGACAGTTACTTGGGCACCAAGTAAGGATGAAAGCTGTTTGTAGACTTGCTTCCTCATGATTCCATAGACTTGCTGCCCAAGTTTAGACTATTGAAGCATTTAAAATACAAATACTGCATAATATTGAAACATCTAAAAGATAGTATAGAACTCTAAAATACGAATTTCTGTGTCTCACTGGTGAACCTTTGAGCATATATACACCAGATTCAGCTGAGGCAGATCCCCTTTTAACAACGGATATGTGAATGCACTTGCTAAGAAAATGAACTTAAAAAACTTTAAGGTCTAAATATTTCTTATGATAACATGAGCTCTGGAATTTGAATCTCTTTGGTCTTTTCCGGATCTTTTTTATTTTACATTACTGTTGGCCAGTAATTGCGAATTGATGAAAAGGGATATCCTCCCATCATTCCTCATATTGCTTTGAAGCCAATTAAAAAGTGTTTTATTTGTTAGACTAATGACAAGGCTCTGATAACGGTAAAGTAAACTAGGATGTTATCATTTGTTCATCTGACTATCATACGCTTAATTTTGAGGACCATCTCAGAAAGCTACAACAGGAGCACGTAATATAGTTCTAGGTGTATTCTCCTTCTCCACATGTTTGGTTTTAGAGGAAATTTGAATCAGAAATCACAAATGTGCTGCTCTTAGTTTATCTATTCTTTTAGTCACCTATAATCGTCTTGCTGACGGAGGATCTTTTTCATGGCAGATAAAGATTCTGGGCCAAAGACAATAAATGATGTGAAGCTTATTAATGCTGGAAGGATACTTGAGAACAATAAAACACTTGGTGAATCAAGACTTCCAGTTGCTGAAGTTCCAGGAGGTGTCATCACTATGCATGTTGTTGTACGCCCACCTATGAATGAAAAAGCCCGTGGTAAGTTCACAATTTGTTGTAATCATAGAAACTCAGATCATGATAAATGTGTATTAGATAGATGCTTCAATGTATCATGTTGTCGTTTTTGTAGTACATGACAATAATTGGACAGCCTTCTGTCACAAATCACCGGTAGCTCGTATTGGATATTTTTACGTAACCAAAGTGTCAATCAGTAGAAGTGATGAGATTACCTTTTCCTGTTTTCAATTTTCCTTGATGTATCTTGTTGTAGATTCTTGTTGATACAAAAAAACAAATTGTTTGGTACAACTGGTACTTTTGGTACTCTATGCATATTTTGCTTGTGTCAAAACTCATCATCGCCTTGTTAACCTCTGAGCCCTAAATAATTGGGGTGGAGGAAGGAATTTTTAGGTTGTAAAGAAAAAATTAGTTTGTCAAGTGTCGGATGATAGCTCCAATTCAACTTCGCAGCTATGATGCACTTTCTCCGAGGGTCTTCATTTCTGTTTATGATTGTTAATTGTGCTGTTCAATAAGAGTTCAAACTTAAGTGAATCCTGAGAAATTTATATGTTGATGTATGTTACAGATATTTTATGATTTATCTGGAGACTCTTTAAATTATTTTGTTCTATAGTGATTCCTTGTTATAGGGATCACTCCCATGTGCAATGTACATGAAGCTTTGTGTCTTTGGGAAATTTTTATGAGCTTCTGCATTTCCATCCATAATCTATTTATTGATTCTTCTTTTTAGTTCTATCTTTTCTGAAGCCTTCTGCTGAATGAAGATTCAATGCATTTGTTACAGATAAACTACAGGATGATTCCCTGAACAAAGGCGGGTGTGCATGCACAATCTTGTAATCCGTCTAACCATATAACAAAATTATTCCAGTTCAGTAATATTCCGTAGTTCATGGATTTTTCAGTAGCGGATCTTTGGATGCATCCAAGAAGTATCAAATGGCAAAATTTGAAGTTCAATTATCATTCAAGCTCTTTGCTTTTACCTTTAGATTTCAGCTTGACAAACTTGCTTAGAAGGCTAAAAGGGATTTGGTGCACTGCTGTGTAGGAACTTTTGTGGGAAGTACGAAAAGTTTTCTTCCTTTGTTCAGGTGGGTAAACAAGGGAACAAGAAGAACAAAAGAATTGTTCAAGATTATAGTTGGTTTGATTTCTTTAAATTTGCAATCATATAACTATGAAGAACTTACAAATTCAGGCATGTGTACTTTGTTGTTGTTGCACCATTTCTTTTGTCATTGATGATCCAATGTCTATGGAATTAAATTCACCATAACAATTTATATTGTTTATGTTATTTCCCAAGTTACTTGAGCTGAGAGTCTATCAAAAACCTCTCTACCATGTAAGGTTAAGGTTTGCATACGCATTACCCTCCCCATACTCCATTTGTGGAATTACACGGGGTATGTTGTTGATGTATGTTATTTCCAAAGTAGGATATGGTCCTACTTCCATCTCCAGCAATATGATGCATGTCAAATTCCAGCTTACATTACATCTTAAAGCTGTGCCACAGGGAGGCACCCAAATTGAAAACTTAAAAAGGACAGAGCAATTGAGTTATAACAAATTTTTATGCCTCTTGCGTGGCTTAAAGTAGGAGAAGCTGAGCTAATTACATGATAATCTAATTTCTATACATAATATTACAGCCAAATACAGGTATAAAATGGAAAAATGAGGCTATAACATATGGGATATCTAGATCTACACATAACTTAAATGGGTTACAAAATCTGATAGCCACAGTTTAACATTTACAAGGAGCAAGTCAGCTTGCAGGGTTGGTTCCTCCATATTTGGGACTTATCTTGGCATGCTTGTCCATAAAAGTGAACCAACTTTTAGAGCTGACATGCAAGACAAGGGTTGAAAGTCTTGCACGTTGACACTCTATGCGAAACTAGCAAATCAAGAAATGGATTGAAAGAGTGCCTACGAAGGACTGTCTACAATGGAGGATGAGGAGCGATTTAGTTGCATGAGCTTTGTCCTAGATGCTCTGACATTCTTGAGTGTCATCTTCAGTTTTTGCCTTTCGCCTTCAACCTCAGCAAACTGGAGGCTTAACTGAGAGTACCGATCGTGCATTTCCCTCAGTTCATTCTCCTTAGCTACTTGCTTTTCTTTGATTTCCAACATTTCCTTGATCAACTCATTGATGTCTCTGAAGCTTTTGAAGATTGCTTCGTCATCACTATGTTGTTTCAGAAACGAACTGAAGCATAAATAAATTACTTGTCACTTCTATAGTATTTTATCCTCGCAATAAATATCATCACATTGAACCCCAAGAAAACAACACATTTTCACTGTGAAAACAGCAAAACACTTCTAGATAGTTACTTCTCCAGTAAGCTTCCTAGCGAAAGACAGAAACTACTGATATGGCAATAGCCTTGGATACTGCTTCTTGCCACAATAGCAGATTAAAAGAAAATATTCGTCTTTTAATGTCTTCATAGATAGACATAGGAAATGCTTCAAGGAATTCCTTCTAGAACATGATTTACAGATTCTATATATGCAGTTCAGTATATGAATTATGTGAACTTCATTTGTAATTCTTAGTATAATTGAGAAGCTAGGCAAGAAGTGTTCAGAAAGCCATTTTGATGCATCACCTGTCAATCAGCTACATGTAAAATACTATTATTTCCATAAAAACATTCCAGAATAAAGTAATATGTCCGAGGAAAACATAATCGATGTTAGCATAGATTTACAGCAACAGATCAAACATAGACAGTAATATCAATTGTTAGCAGTGGACTCAATTTAGTAACATGAGAAATTAAGCAGGGCTGGCCAATGTTCTTGAGAATGTTGATTAAGCAGCGTGAAATCATGAATGAAAGTTTTACTATAATTAACTAAAAGAAATGGAAGAATGAAGTATCTGCCAGGGACAATTAAGCAGAAGGCACTTACCTCTGGAACATACTCTGTTTATTCTTTGCCTTCAATGCTTCAGCAAGCTCAATTTCCAGGGCAAGTACCCTCTCCAATGCATTACCAGTGATAGCTATATCCTTGAATGTTGGGAACATGCTTCGGAGCTCTTCATTTGCCTTGCAGATTAAGAACCATGATAAATAGTGATCAGCGCACAATGACATATTCAACTACAATATATACAAGTTATCTCAGTATACCTTGTGTAACTGCGCGAGTTCGCTCTGAAAAATTTCAAAGCCTTGATCGGAATAATGGTCCTCAGGAATGAGAGAGTTTTCACGTTTCATCCTTTCCAACTGCAAGTCAAGTAAAAGAAAAAAATTGATATGACACCACCATATATCTCACTTGTAATCTGATTGTTGACTCAAAGTTGGATCAACAAATACCTCTTCATGTAGATGTTCCATGCTAGACCTCAAATTCCTGCTTCCAAACTGTTCACTGCTGAAATCTATATGCCTTCCATTGCTGGGTGGTGAGTAACCTTCAAGAGGTGCATCTCCAGTTGTTGCATGCACACCTACTGATGCAGCATCCTGTAAATGATTGAAAAGGAAGAAAAAACTAAGTACTTCAAACACCAAAGGACTCCATGAAGTAAAAAACAAAAGCAATCTGCGCAATCAGAGACATTGATTAACTATATTTACTTCATCACGTCAGTTAATTAGGATAGTGTAGGGGTATATTTACTATTTATTTTATGTTACTACATTTCATCATGCGAGTTCTGTAGCCGTTTACTGTGTAGCTCAAAAAATGAATATTTAAATAAGGTCTTCAAGAAAACATTCTACATCACTACCACATTAGTAGTTCTTGTCAGAGAGCTTACCGGACTGAGTAGAAGTTTCACTGGTGAGCTTGATTCTTCACTTCTATCATCCATAAATAAGGTTGTTTCCTTCACATTCCAAGCATCAGATGAATCCTCTCGAGGTGTGGCATCAGGAGAAGGATTTACATTTGTCTCATTAGGCGCAAGTTCAACTTTGCTCATCTGGCCATTTTCTCTCTTAGATACAACAGAAGATGTGACGTTCATCAGCTCTTCTCTAGTCGAAGTAAGTTCAGCTGCAATTCTGGAGTATTCTCTCGCTTGTTCTTGCAAAGTTACTTCGAGTTTTTCCTTTTCTTCCTTGCAACACTCTAGACTTAGCAGAGCACACTCCAATTCTGCCTTTATTCTGTCATGATCTTTCATTATATCACGCTTATCAGAAAGCAGAGACTGTAACTCAGATTCCAAAGACAAGATTTTGAGAGCTAGGTCTTCATTTTTCCTCAAGTGCAAAGCTTCAGATCTCTTCCTGCTTTCAATTTCATCTAATGCATCCTGTAACTTCAAAAGCATATCTTCTCCGTGCTTTTTGGAGATAGAAACTTGTTGCTTCAACTCTTGGAATTTTGATTCATATTGCTCTTTTATAAAGACTATCCGTAAGGATTCTTGCATAGCAACAGGTGGTCCTTCAGATTCTCTTTTCTCGCGAACCTGGAGACATTCTGCATCAGCCTTATCCTTAAGCTCCTTCAAATGGATGGATAAGTTTCTGAACTCTTCGGTTTTCAATGCCTGCTCAGAGAGCTTAAGAGTTAGCTCATTACACTTGTGGGTGAGCTTATTACATTGCAACTGCAAGGTGACCATTTCATCTTTGTTGTTCTCCTGTAAGATCCTGTAGGGGTGCAGGTCATCTAATTTGCCTCGGAGCACAATCACCATGATCTCCAGTTCCTCCTTGCAAAGTGACAAGTAATTAAGTTCTTCTTCAGCATTTGCCAGCTCGCTCTTCAACTTCTCCACTTCAAGAGCATGATGATTATTAGTTTCGAGGAGAGAATCCTCCAATATTGTCATCTCCTTTTTGTATTGCTCAAGTTTCACTGTGTTAACATACTTGGCATCTGAAAGAACATTATTTTGAGCAATAGAAGCTTCTAAGTCAGATCTAACAGAAGAAAGAGATCTTAGCAACTCCTTGTTTTCTTTAATTGAACAAGCCTCACTTGCAAGGCATTGATTCAAGTTGGCCTGTAAATCATGACATCTCTTCTGAAGCTCGGCAGTGGACCCATCCGATGATTTAAGCTGCCGCACCAATTCCAGATTAAGTGTTTCACAGTGGCTCATGGCAACTGTGAACTTAACATCAGAAGCTATGGCATACTCTTGTATTTCTAGCATGTGCCTTTTAAGATCAGAAATATAGGAAACCTCTAGCTGAAGTTTTTCCATTTGCTTACTACGCTGCTGCAAAAGATGGTCAAGTCTAGATTTCTCCGTTCCTAACTCTGATGCCAACTGCCTGAAATGCACCAGATCAGCATTTTGCTTTTCCAAATCCAGCAACTTCTCATTCTTCTCGTTCAATTGAGAAGTAAGATCTCGCACTGAGCTCTCTAAACCAGAAACACAGGACAAATCATTCTGAAGCTTAGCCACATGCTCATCACGCTGCAGCACAAGTTGGTCAAGTCTACATTTCTCCACTTCAAAATCTGCTGCCAGCTGCCTAAAACTTACCAGTTCAGCATGTTGCTTTTCCAAGTCCAGTAACCTGTCATGCTTCTCATTCAATTGAGAAGTAAGATCTCTGACTGAGCACTCTAAACCAGAAACACAGGACAACTCTTCCTGAAGCTTTGCCACATGCTCATCACGCTGCTGCAAGAGCTGATCAACTCTAGATTTCTCCACTCCTAACTCTGATGCCAGCTGCCTGAAATGCACCAGCTCAGACAGCTCAGCATTTTGCTTTTCCAAATCCAGTAACCTGTCATTCTTCTCGTTCAGTTGAGAAGTAAGTCCTAGCACTGAGTCCTCTAAACCAGAAATACAGGACATCTCTTCCTGAAGCTTAATGATATGTTCACCGCGCTGCTGCAAAAGCTGATCATGTCTAGATTTTTCCACTTCTAAATCTGATGCCAGTTGCCTGAAATGCACCATTTCAGCATTTTGCTTTTCCAAATCCAGTAACCTGTCATGCTTCTCATTCAATTGAGAAGTGAGATCTCTTACAGAACCCTCTAGACCAGACACACAGGATAACTCCTGCTGCAGCTTTGCTGCATGCTCATCATGCTTCTGCAAAAGATGACTAAGTCTAGATTTCTCAATCTCTAACTCTGATGCCAGCTGCCTGAAATGCACCAGTTCAGCTATTTGCTTTTCCAAATCCAGTAACCTGTCATCCTTCTCATTCAACTGCAAAGTAAGATTTTGCACTGAACCCTCTAGTTTATCTTTAAGACCTCTCTCAAGTTGCAATTCATCTTGCAACTTGTCTCTCAGATGACTAACTTCTGACGTAAGCTTGGCAAATTCCTCAGACTTGTCATGCAGA